TTTTTTTTTTTTTTTTTTTTTGCATATTTGTTTTGAAGTCAAGGCCAGCCTGTAGCTAGGCAGGTGATCTATCACTTGAGGCATACTTCCAGCCCTTTTTACTTCCTCTTCAAGTAGGGTTTTGAATTTCTGCCCCAGGCTGGCCTCAGACCATGGTCTTTCTACCTATAGCCTTCTATGAAACTGGGATCACAGGCATGTGCCACCAGGCATATTTGTTGAAATGGGGTCTCCCTATAACTTTCTACCCAGGCTAGCCTGGAACCATGATCCTCCCTTCTATCCTTATTAGGTAATGTTAAGGGTCACAGATTAGTTGATGTTGTTAATGATATTTTGAGTAATAAGTTTCACTGATAAGGCCCTGGAACAAAGCAAAGAAACTTAGTCTAAGTACTCACAACTTACTTTGGGATCTTAGAAGCAATTTTGCATATTTTTGGTGGTCATATTTTTTAAGCTCATTGCTACTAAGTTTGTCAGAGTTTTTGAAAAATTGAAGTAGCCATCTATTAATATTAAAGTATAAATTTTTGTATTGTCAGTGACAATCATATTGGATTTCACAATCTATTTATACTCTCTGATTTAATCCTTTTCTTAACCCCAAGAGTATTATTTTTTGTCATCATTCTACAGATGAGGTATTTGAGGCTAAAGAAGTTGGTTTAGATCACAAGTGCTTTGTGCTTTGATCTCTGGCCAGACTTTTAAGCTAAAACTCTCTTGACCATTACACTGTCATGCTGCTGTTTTCTTTTGAAGATGGGATTTCAAGAACTATTTGGTTGGCCTCCAACCTTGATCCTCCCAATCTCAGCCTCCTAAGTAGTTGGGATTACACACGTGTGCCACCGGTGCCTGCCTTAGGTTTCTTAAGTGTGTAGACTTATAACTTAATTCCAATCTGTATGACTTCCTGTTTTGACTGCTTTATTTCTTGCTTTTTTATTTATTATTATTTTTATTTATTTAATTATTTTGAGATGGGCTCCTCTCTCTCTAGTCTAGGCTGGCCTCAAAGTCACAGTCTTTCTGCCTTAGCCTCCCAAGTGCTGGGATTACAGGTGTGCATCACTGTCCATGCCCAACTGTCTTGTTCTTTAGATCATAAAATACTCTTAGTCTCTTACATTTCAGAGCCCAAATGAATATCTCTTTGAAAGGACTACATTTTAGATTTTCTGGAAACTGCAAGGGTTTCTTCTTTTTTTTTCCTTTTCATTCTTTTTTTTTGCATTTTTATTGAATAGGAAATACTGTTTTAGCATACTCACAATTTTTTATCCTGAATAATAATTATCCCAAGGACTTGTTTACAAGAAAAAAGAAATTATTAAAAGATTTATCCTTCATTTAAGAACCATTGTTCTTTACAGTTCTGCTAGATAACTCTCAAATGTCCTGAATGTAGGTTAGACTGTAAGTTAAGATTATACCTTTGAGTTGTGGTTTTCATTATACATACTCCTGCCACTTTCTACCTGGATAGTTATAAAAAAACAAGTCATTTGTTCTCAGAATGAAGTTAAAAGTAATGCACTAGCTGGGTGCCAGTGTCTCACAACTACTTAGGAAGCTGAGATTGGAAGGATCACAGTTTGAGGCCAACAGTTCATGAGACCCCCATTTCCAAAGTAACCAGAGCAAAATAGACTGGAGGTGTGTGTGGCTCAACAGGTGGAGCTCCTGCTTTGCAAGCTCAAAGCCCTGAATTCAAACACCAATTCCACTCCCCAAAGAAAAGTAATACCACACTAAAATTGAATTTTGTTCCACTTAGCCTCAAGTCGAAGTTTTGTCAGAGGAAGAAGGAGAAGAAGAGGAAGAAGAAGAAGATATCCTCTCTCTGGCAGAAGAAAAATACAGGCCAGCTGCCCTTGAAAAGATGATAGCTTTAGTTGCTCTTTTGGTTGAACAGTCTCGCTCAGAAAGGTGAAATGTTTCAACATTCAAAATGCTTAAAGTGTGTTTGGTTTTACTCTTTTTACATAATTGTTTTATCATAATTCAGTTTTATGAGATAAATCTTATTTTAAATAATACTGCTGTTCATCAGTTCTTGTGGCTCAAGAATTTCAGTCCTTTCTACAAACTCTTGTCTCTGAGTCATGTTAGAAATGATCACTGAAGAAATCTACAGTAAAGTATCTAGCATAATTACATGTACATTCATTCTTTAACCTGACAAATATACTTCTAGGGATCTACCCCAAAATAAAGGTGTATGTACAGACCTATTTATTGAAACAGTGTTTTTAATAGCAAAAGACTAAAAACAACCAATGTCCATAGTCATTAAAAATCAAAGTATCTACTCAGTATAGTCTTCTATAGTTTAAAAAAAGAAAAGGTGGATGTTTGTACTACCACAGAGATATCTTTATGAGACATATGCAGCCTCCACTCCTCTTTGTCAAAAACTAAAACAGCATATAGTATACTAGCTTTTAAGAAAAGGAAAGCTACCCAGGTGCTGGTAGCTCACGTCTATAATCCCGGTTACCCAGGAGGCAGAGATCAGGAGGATCGAGGTTTAAAGCCACCTTGGCAAATAGTTTATGAGACCCTATCTTGAAAATACCCATCACAATAAAAAGTGGGGCTGGTGGAGTGGCTCAGGTGGAGAGTGCCTACCTAACAAGCATGAGGCCCTGAGTTTGAACCCCATATCACCAAAAAAAAATTTAAAAAAGAAAAGCTAAGAAAGAATATGTGTGTATATAGCTGATTCTCATACGTGCATTTCCTATTTGTGAATTCATCCACTTGGCTAAAATTTTATTTGTGATGCCAAAATCAGTACTTGCAGAGCTTTCACAGTCATTCACAGACACATGCTATGTAGAGTGGTGAAACATTTGAGTTGCCTGTGTTTGTAGAGTGGTGAAAATTTTGAGTTGCATGACAAATACTTTGCCAACTGAGGTCAAACAAGGCAACAGTCTGCTGTCTTCAATTTTCATGTTGTAAACAAATGTACTTTTCATGATGTATGCCACATTTTTCAAATATTTATGCTTTCTGTTGGTGATTTCATTGTTTAAAATGGCCCCCAAGCATAGTGTTGAAGTGCTGTCTGGTGTTCCTAAGGTAAAGGAAGGCTGTTATATGCGTTAGGTGAAAATAAATGTTAGATAAGTTTCATTCAGATCTGAGTTGTAATGCTACTGGCCAAAACTTCAATGTTAATGCATCTACAGCATATTAAATAAGGTGTCTTTAAACAGAAACACCTGTAAAGCGTGGTAATGTATTGACTGACAAAAATGTGACAACAGACTTATAAACATCTAAGTCTCCATTTGCCCTATGAGCAATGATTTGTTTTCTTGCTAACTCAGTATTTATGCACTTCATAGGACATAACTACCCAAAATACCAAGAACTAACTATAAATCCAAAAGTCTTTTTAAAAATGGTTTCTAATGGCGGGAGCAGATGAAGGGGGAAAGAAGTAGCAGAAGCTTCACAAAACAAAATTGTTTTGTTTTATAATTTTAACTTTGGAATCATGTAAATGTTTTGTAAAATTATACATAAATATATAAAAGCAATCCCTAAAAATCAAAATTATAATGAAATAAGTAAACTTTATATTAAGGAGGTAATACAACCACTGGAGAGGAAATAAAGTATCTTTAGAACACATTAACTGTAAATTTCTAGTGGGATATACATGAAAGACAAAAGGAATTGCAAAATTGGTCCTATACTGTTTCAGTAGCTATATTGTTACTAATAGAATTAGAATTACTATTCTGAAACTGTAATGGGCCCAGGTTTTTAAGCAAGAAATGAATGAGAGTCTCGGAACGTTTTTTCCATTTTGGAAAGCATGGAGGCTATCTGAGACTATTGAAGTCATGTTAAAAGGACTCAACAACTTATTTAAGAAATTTCTACTGGCTGTAGATTGGACAACTTGCACACCAAAAATAAGAATACTGTGGAATGTGAAACAAACATGAAGATTTTGAAATCAGTAAGTTTAAAATGATACCTAAAGAGAAAATTTGAAAAATATGTTGGCAACCTTTGGCGTGCACTGGAAACCAAATCCTTATTTTACAAACTGGCAAAGGAAATGGTGTGAATGATTAATTTATACTACCTGGAAGAAGTAAAAGCTCATGACAACCAAATGGTGGATGAGGGAAAGTTCATCATCATAGAGATACTTGAGCTAATAAATGAGCAAAGATTACTGGAATTAGACTATAACTATTTTGTGAGTCCAAATGAAATAGTCAGTCTAGGCAGTGATCATCATTGGTGGAAAATGTTACAAAAAGACTAACTCCTCATTGTACGCCTCCTGATGAATATCTGCACTACCACCTACAAAAAATCCTTCATTAAAAAGCCAGCCTAGATCTGATCAATTCTCTAGATCCAACTAGTAGTTTACAGACAGTACAAAAACAGAGGAACATGTTAAAACATCACCATCAGGATACAATTAGCAAAACAAATCTGGAAAACTCTACAGGACAAACAGCCTGCTTTCTTCAAGAGAGAAATTGCAAAATAAAAACAAGTCAGAAGGGAAACCAATAGATTAAAACTTAAAGAGACATGTCAACTAATTGCAACAAAAAGACTTTATTTGGATCCAGATTGAAACAAATCATAAAAAATGTTTAGAAACTTGAGGAAATTTGTACACTGAATATTGTAAGAAAGTAAAATATTGTTGATTTACTTTAGGGACAAATAATGGTACTGTGGTTGTTTGGAAATTTACCTAAGATATGTACTTATATTTATGAATTAAATGATAAAACACCTGGAGTTTGCCTCAGAATAATGCATATTGGGTGGCTGGTGGTAAAAGTGAAACAAGACTATGATTTCGGTAAATGTGAAGTTTAATGTTGGGGTATTTGCACTATTTTTTTTATGTATTTGAATTTATATAAGGAAATATATAGTAAAACTGAAAAGATGAAACTAATATTTCTTAGAACTCCATTTGTTTTTAAAAAGTCTCACATTAGAAAAACATCTAAGTTTTTAATACACTAAAAATATTGAGTTAATAAAATGGAAGTAAATTAGATTTGCCTTCCATTTACTAATCCTGGAATCTTGGAAAATTGCGTCTGAAATGCTTAGCTTAAAAAGCAAAATCTAGTTATATTAAACCCAACTCTCAAATTTTTATGATGGCAGCCTGTAATATAATTATAATAGGACTGACAGTTTTCATGCATGTCATGATGTAAAAGCTATAAAGCAGTACACATGGAAAAGATTTATTTCCACTAATATTTTCTTTTAGGCATTTGACATTATCACAGACTGACATGGCAGCATTAACAGGAGGAAAGGTAATGCCTTCTCTACTATTAAACAATTTGATCATCACAAAAATAATGTAACAATTCTTAAATGAACAACTTTTGCTTTTAACAGGGATTTCCCTTCTTATTTCAACATATTCGAGATGGCATCAATATAAGACAAACTTGTAATCTGATTTTCAGTCTGTGTCGGTACAATAATCGACTTGCAGAACATGTAAGTTCCAAAAAAGACAGTCTTAAAGTATTTTGGTAATTTTAAGAATAATACTCTGAAATCATTTTTCTGTTTTAGATTGTGTCTATGCTTTTCACATCAATAGCAAAGTTGACTCCTGAGGTATGTAAACATTTGCTGGTTCGTGCTTTTAAAACTATGTCAACACTGAGTGCTTTCACACAAGCCTTTTGGATTCTTCAAGTTTCTCCCATAACATGGTAACCTGTTATTTAAGCATGTAATTTAAATAAACTGAATTACCTATTCAAATAGGTAATATCATTTTCCCGATCAGGAGTAAATTAAATATATCATAGTGACATTTAACATGCTAAGCTTTGAATTTAATTTAACCTAAAGCATGTATCATATAATTGCATACAAGGAAGAAAGTAGCTTAGACAGTAAGCTACTGTCTTTATAAGTATTTATTAAATAGAAATACTTAGCTCCTTTAGCAATACATATGAGTCATTATTGTAAATTATACTCTTTAAGGATCAAAGGTTGCTAAAGGAAACGTCTAATGTAAAATATTCAATAGGACATGCTTGTTTAGTTAACAGAATTTACTTTAAAAGTTCAGGAGATAACGATGAAATGACAAAAAATTTTAGTTAGAAGAAATAAATCCAAGAGATCTCTTGTTCAACGTAGGGTTTATAATTAATGTACTGTGTACTTAAAAATTTCCAAGAGTAGATTTTAAATGCAGATGTTAATTAGCTGCACATTGTTTGCTTATTTCAGAATACCATTATGACACCATAAGCATATATAATTGCTTGTTTATAAATTTAAAAATAAATATTTAAAATTACTTTCCTGGAAAAAATCTGTTAGATGTGGCTCCCCTGCAATTGAATTGGTTTTTCTTAGCTGATCATATGCATGAGGATCGAGTGAACTCTGCTACCCTAATACAAAGATCTAAATGTGATGTTTAGAAGAATGTGTCTCTTTTTTGATGAAAGACACGGGTTCAACTTGATCTAAGTATAGACATGTATGTGTCTTACAGGCGGCCAATCCTTTCTTTAAGTTGTTGACTATGCTAATGGAGTTTGCTGGTGGACCTCCAGGAATGCCTCCATTTGCATCTTACATTCTGCAGAGGATATGGGAGGTAAGTCTAGCACATGTTTTCAGAATCTATCTTCCCAAGGGTTTTACTTTCTTAGACCATCAATACCATCTTAAGTACTAGTTTCTTCTTACATATGTATCCCAAAATAGTTTCAGTAAGTCACAGGTTCAGAAACATAGAGGAGCTTTAGTGAGAAGGTTGAAGAGAAAGGAAGTTCTGAGCTGGTCTCCCAGATGTCATTTTTTTTCTTGTAGTGTCAACAGCTTCAGCCAGTATGAAGTTCTCATTCTTCTGCCCTCAAGAAAGATGCCATAAAGCAACTAGAAACCCTAGAATATAAACCAAGTACTTTAAGCAGTTGACAGAAATGGTAGAGGAAGCATCAGCCACTTCTTGTCTTCCAGAATTACTGATGTGGTCATAAAATTTCTCCTTAGTGAATATTGGAAAAGCTGTAGACCAGGGAGCAGTGAACCTTTTCTCTAAAGGCCAGATAGCAGATATTTTAGGTTTTGTAGGCCATACAGTCTCCTTTGAAACTACTCTGCTTCTGTATTAAGCTAAAAGGAGCCATAGACAATTAAAAACAAATGAGTGGATATGACTGTGTTCCAGTAAAACAACACAGCAAGCAGCCACAGAACTTGGCCTGTAAGCCAAAGTCTGCCTATACTGCTCTAGAGTCCTAAGATTCCCTTTTCCCATGGGAGGCAGGGGCATTCTCCACAGCAGTGCAGTGAGCAGCTTTACATTCTCGTATAATAGTAAGAGGTTGGATATAGAATAAGAAAAGTGAAGAGAAATATTTTAGAACTGGAAGCATGATTCAGATGGTGGAGTGCAAAGCCCTGAGTTCAATCCTTAATACTATAAAAAAATTAAATAAATAGAGAAAACTAAAAGTACTTTTTTTTTCAGTGTTGAGGATTAGACCCAGGGCCTTAACCTGTGCTAGATAAGTGCTCTACCACTGAACTACACCCCTAGTCAAACATAATTTTAAGTAAATTTATAAACTTAACAAGACCTAAATAAAAGTCACTAAGATCTCATATTTGTCCGATGTCAATGGTCTTTGGTTATTTTA